AAGAAACCATCAGTTTGACATTTGTTTATTCACGTTTCTTAGTTCGTGCTGATTCAAACAGCATGCAAGTGGACGACTTTTCTGAGATATGTAATAATTAATAGTTGACTATGTCGATATTGTAAATAATTTTACGTCCAGAAGTTACTGTTTAATTTATGTTCAAGAAAATTATAGAATGGGGGAAGTAATTTTTTAAGAAATGGACTCTTGTAATCATGAGAATATAACTAGTAAGATGACCGGCTACCAAGACAGATCCACTGCTGGAAAAGCCGAAATCATTAGGATGAACATGGTATAGAATTTTTTTAAAACATCTTTTTGCATGAATATCATGATGTTAGAGGTAATTATGACCTTCCATGTCCAAGAACTAAGAAAATACGTCTCATTTGTTTTCAGCAATAGTAAATTAAAAGTTTACGTATTATATTTTGGTGCCAATTGAACAGCATACGATAATTATTGTGTGAAACAAAAAAACTTTAGAATGAATAGAAATTACACTTTCATTACTCCTTCAGTCTGGAAAAAAAAATTTAACAATAAATTTAAATGTTAGAGCATAAAAAGTATTTATTCGAATAATCTTTATTAAGTTTAATCCATCACAAAAGAAGAACTATTTATAATGATAAGTACATAATATAATTAAATTATTGTAAGAATGAGAGGTTACATAAGTCTAACAGTTACAAGCAAGCACAATTTTACCGATAGAATCTCGATGAAATAATGGCGGAAGCTAATGTTGCTTATTTGAGCAATAGGAAGTGTTTTAATCAGAAGAGTATTGACACATTTATTATAAGGTGGTGATTCTACCAAAATAATTTCTAACATTCAAAACAAATTTAGAATGAAAAGACATAATTATCCCTCTTAAAAATTTAATGTGTTTATCATCTTCTTCCATGTTTTTTATTTCTCCCCAGCTCTGAAAGGCTGAAAACCACGGATTGTCATCCATCGCCAAAATTAATTTCATGTCATTCTTCATAGCCATGATTAGTGAAGAACATTTCTGATAAGATATAAATGGGAAAAATTATTTGCGGCTTAATATAAACCTACATTTTTATGTTTCAAAATTGTTTGTTTTCAACAATTGGTTTGGAATTTGGTAATTCTTTCCTCTACCAAACATTACAAATAATTTACTTGATTTTTAAGACCAAAATTATCCCACAAAATGCTAAAAGGAAAGAAACCAACAAAGTTGCTCTCTTCTTTTTCGGAATGGGAAACTAGAAAATTTGGACTCTCAATAAGGTACGCACATCAGGAAGACAATTTTTCCAGACTTTTGTTAGTTTTTTCTTCTGCGGGGGCTGGGGGGGGAGGAATGCTTAATTGAGGAAGAGGCGGCGAGAGATGAAGGAAGATGAATAGTAAATTAAATTTTTAGGAGGATAATTATGTCCTTTTATTTTAAACATATTGCGGATGTTAAAATTTGTTTTGGCAGAATCGCCATTCATTATTATATTGATTGTAGTCATGTATTCTTCTGGTCCTAATTATAAGGTACATCAGAGCGAGTAATAATTTTGAATGTTCATGTAGACGAGTGCAAACCAAAAAGACGCGTGCGTGGATGGGTGGACGAATTGGTGGCGTTGGTCCACTAAAGAAAGTATCCTAAAAAGAGAACAGGAAAAAGAGTGTCAACATTCTTCCGCTTGTTTTGGCGTAATTCAATGGCGGCAAGGGATCGCCCCATGTGAACTATGATGACTATTCAATAATGATGTGGTTTTCCCCCAAAACAAAACGAGTTGTTTGTTGGTTCCACTTCCTCCATTGATGACGGGTTAAGATGCCACAATGTGGAATCAAAACCCATAATTAATATGTATTATTTTCATATATTACATGTATTATATTCGAACTCCTATCACTATTAACATAATTCGAATAGATAGGTTTCTCTTCAATACGTAATACTAACGCATTTTTGGTTTTCGGAGAGGACATTAGGGATTGGCTGCCATTTCCAATTTTCTACATAAGCAACGGTTAAATAGCCATCTCCATTATAGAACAAATACTGATACAATATTATTATTTTTTATTTCTTTTTGGAAAAAAAGAACATTCAACTTGCAAGTTCAACAATTTAACCTATATTTAGCACGCAACTGCATAATGCATCCTTCAACTAGTACTTTTCCCTAATTTGGGTGTCTTTGTCGTTGTTTTATGAAGGTTTCAGTTATGTAAGAAACTACATTTTGATTTTTCTTAGCTCATTTGTTGAGTTGCTTTAAATTTAAGACAACTTTTTCTTTCTCACATACTCCCTCATGTCCTTATTATAATAGTAGACTTTTTGAGTTGTCTTAAATTTCATCTAATGTATTTTTCTAATTAAAAATAAATTCTTAAAATGTATTTTCATATTTATTGTATTGTTCCAATTATATTAAAAATATGTTTAAGGTTCCATTTTCAATGAGAAGGATATACTAAACGAAATTTAGGACAAACCAAAATGGTTTATAATAACAATAACAACTGTATAAATTAACCTCTTTTTCAAAAGGAATAACAAACAATAACAATAACAAAAGGAGTATTTTCTTAAAACTTCTTTTTCGTCGTGTACTCCCTCCGTCCTAAAATTATTGTCCAGTTTAAGTTTTTATTTTTAGTCTAAAAATGAAAACTCAAACTGGACAATAATTTTAGGACGGAGGGAATATAATTATTCAGATACAATAACAATTGTATAAATTAAGGTCATACTCCAAATCAAGCAAAACCAACTTAGCTATCCATCCATCAATTAATTTATATTATTATCATCCGTTCCAAAAAAGAGCGGCATAACTGCATAGCTAAAATAATTAAGAACAAATAGAATCTAATTACAGTTGCCAATTAGAAGAAGGCAAAAGAAAATTTGTAGAAAATATTTTGGGGTATATTTGTTAAGCTTTTGATACGAGTTCCATCGTCCAGTGTGGTCTAATTTCACGGACAATTTATGCAGGACGTACACCTAATAGCAAATAAAATAAAAGTGCAAACTCTAATTCAAGGCTTTAAGCATTCTTTCTCCTTTTTACTATGTAATAATTTTTTCATAGTGAAAGTACTACTATTATTGGCTGCAGATGAATCCAAGGGCAATCATTTTGGATTTGTTTGGGTTAAGATGATAAGATAAAGAAATCATGAAGTAACGGTAAAATCGATGTTGACATTTTGTGATGGAAGCAGAATTTATGGAGTGTTATGCAAAATTGATGTTGACTTTTCACCACATCTACGGATTTTTATTTTTTTAATTTTTTTTTATTCAAATGAAGTAGTTCCTCCGTCCGAAAAAAATAGTTCACATTGAGTTTTGAGTTTTGTACTGTTTTTAGTACAAATTTGAAAACTCAATGTGGAGTATTTTATTGGGATGGAGTTAATATATTTCACATTCTCACTTTGTTGAATTACAAATTATATAATAAAATGCACTATCAAAATGAGAAATAAAAGCGGTAATACACACAAAATAAATAGAGAAACAAGGTTTCCACACAATGAAACAAGGTTTCCATTATTCCACACTAGAACCTGTTGAGCAAAAACTTTTTTTTATATACATATATCTAAATAAAATAGAGAAAATAGAATAAACGAATGGTGGAGATTTTCTGTGACCGTGAATTGGGTTTTCAGTTAATTTAATTTGATTTAAACTAAAAACCCACATATTCCTTATTCCAACAAAAAGCATGTGATCGAGTCGAGGAAACAACAAAAACTGTTTAGTGTTCTGGTCACAACAACACGTACAGAGTACGACGTTGTTTATTCGCACTTCGGTCCGGAAGTGTACGCTTCGCTGGATTTCGAGCACCATTTTCTGGGTTGATCGGCCGGCCGGTGACAAGCTTGACCGGACCTGGTGACACAAAAAAGGAATTAACAGCTGTACTAAATTGATACTACTATGTTAACAAAGAATGTTAATTTAGAGTCATTGTCTGTGACGGCTCATCCTCGTGATCTTGACCGTAAATGGAAATGTTTCGCAAATGAATAGCAACTTGATAAGAAACCTAAAAATGTCGACCGGATTGGTTGAATTTTTTTTTATTTATTTTTAATTATAAAGAATGTACCTTTTCATCCCTTAAAAAAAATAAAAATTAAAATGGACCTTTTCATTTTGAACACACAATTTTAAGTTCCTACAAATTTTTTTCTCCAAAAGGTTTTTATCCACACGGAGCCTGATTTAAATTTAAATATAAATGTATAGTATTTTAAATCAATCTATAGCATTAATCAGAATGTCTTTCCATTTCAAAAGAAAAAAAATTTATATTTTTCATGTCACTTCATTTTAAAGATTTTTGATAATTTGAATGTAATTTTGCAATGTTCATTTTTTTAAAAGAAGTTGAAATTTCAATACAAGAAAATTACTTTATTCAATGCTTGTGATGAATCGAAGCAAATGCGTCATATCACACAAATAATGTTGGGTACTTGCATCAGATAAAGTCGCAAATTATTATTGGATAGCCTTGAATATTTTGCCAAGTTAATAACTCGACAAAGTTATACATTAATTGAATGGCAATATTTTCTAATTGTATTTTTCCATATCAGTTATCTTCTACAATAAATGAAAAGGAGAGAAACGAAAAAAAAAGAAAAGAAAAAAGAATGCCAACTTACAGTCACACACACCTCTTTTTTTTAATATATATTTTTATTTTTATATAATTAGAGGGTTAAACGATCTGATTACATCTATAAGCTCCTCAAATAAGGAGCTACTGCTCTATCTACCAAAAGATTATTTCGCAACATATCCGTGGAGTTTGCCAAAATATGTCACACACACCTCTTCACTTGTCCAACCGTGTGGAATGTTAAATGTGTGTGACTGTGTGTACATGAACTAAACACAGCTAGTAGTAGTACTTCAAGAAACCGAGTAAAATGCTAAAATTACTTTCCAGGTTTTTTTTTTTTAATCTTTTTTTGACAAAATCCAATGTGGTCAATTAATTACTGCTCCTAATAATTCATTTAACTTTTTTTAATTCTTTTACCTATATCCTCGTCATCTTATTAACTCTTTTTCCTTTTTCTTTTTTCAAATGGTCCGAAATCCCTCGAGTTCCGCCGTGGTCTCTCTCACTCACTCATCAACATCATCATTTCACACGCCTGCGTCCTCTATACAAATACAGGGCACCAGAAAATACCACCATTTTTCAATCCGTACTACCTTCAAACACTTACTCAAATAAAGCTGGCAATGGCCGGAAATCTCTAACATTTATCCAAACCCAATAATCAGTTTCAATACTTCTGTTCAAATTGAGGAAGAAAAACCCAGTTATTTTGGATTTGTATTTCTTTACACTTTGGACCAGTCTGAGCAAGTATGATACTAGAAGAGAGTTGAGAGATTCTCAGATCTCTGTTGTTTCTCTGGATTCTTTAATTAGTGGGTTCTTGTTAGTTGTTCCATTTGGAACCTTTTTTTTAGTTGTAAAATAAAGAAGGACAGAGCCGGCCCTGCAATTTCTTTTGGGCAATATTTCCAAGGCTGAACTGCTCCTGGTAGGTATATCGTTGAATTCTTCTTACTAGATTACTTTTACTAGCTGATAATTTTCTCCAGGCTGATGAGATTTGTTGGAACTTTTATTTGTTGGGTTTTTAAAATTTGTTTGAATCCACTAAGATTTCAGATTTAATGTATTTCCTGTTGGGTGCCATTCATTTATGGGTTTTTTACAAAATTCTTAATTTTAATTTGCATTGAATACTGATTATTGAATGTGACAGTGATTAAAATAATGAGGTTCATGATTTTGGATTTGAAATTTCGTGTGGACATGTTGTGGGGTCTACCTTTTACGCTTTCTTACAGTTGTATCCCGAATGCAATCTTGCGCCTACGTTGTCTGTTTTTTTTAATAATTCTTTGTCGCTGTTTGAATGTTTCTTACACGTCTTTCAGCTTCATAGCAGCTTCTTGTTTTTTATGTCTGTCCATCACCTATTAAGGAGTAATTGCTGGCTCCGGACTGGATGTGCTCTGTTTCTTTACTCGATATATGTATAAATCTGCCGTTCAAACAAGTGATTGTTCACACGTTTATGCTGTGAAAATTCATTTGCATTTGAAGGCTTCTTCTGGGGCGTGTTTGGTGAAGTTGCATTAATATTTCTTGGGGTTTCTTCTGGGTTCTATGTTAGACTTCTGACAAAGTTGGATCTTTTCCTCCAAATGGTGGGTCTGTAGTATCTACAACTTTATCCTTGTTGTTGTGAATCTCGAGATTTCTACCGTTGATAGCTTTATTTCCAATTGCTCTTTTTATTGCTGAAAAAGATATTGTAAAAGGGCCCTAAAGTAGCTCCTTTTTCCACGGGAGAGAGAATGTAGTTGGAGGAAGAGAAAAGCGATCCATATTTTGAATCAAAACCCTTTTGATCTGTAGGAAGATGCATGATTTCTGATGAAAGTTTAGTTTTTATCGAAGGGTGTGATTTTTACTAATTGATTTTGTGTTTCTGGCTTTAAGTGTGCTTAGTGATTTAAGTTTTTCCTTCCAATTTGAATCAAAACCCTTTTGATCTGTGGAAAGATGCATGATTTCTTTTTATAAAGGTTTGATCTTTATTAAAAGGTGTGTGATTACTAATTTAGTATGCGTCTCCGGCTTCTAGCGTGATCTGCTAGACTGTTACTAATTTGTCCTCAACTTGGCATTTCAGGTTCTGTGACGAAAGAATCATTGTATACTATTAATTGAAGTGAAATGGCTGGAAGATCATCTCTACAGGGCAAGGGCCCTGGTGTTCCAACTGTGAAATTTGCTAGGCGCACATCATCCGGTCGGTATGTGAACTTATCGAGAGATTCTGTAGATAGCGATATATATAGTGCAAGTACCGAATTTGCAAACTACACTGTTCATCTACCTCCAACCCCTGATAATCAGCCAATGGAATTGCAACCTGTGGATGCATCTATATCACAGAGAGTTGAGGAGCAGTATGTGTCCAGTTCTTTGTTTACTGGTGGCTACAATAGTGTTACTAGGGCTCATTTGATGGATAAGGTGACAGATGCAGAAGCTAGTCATCCCCAGATGGCTGGTGCCAAAGGTTCTTCTTGTGCTATTCGAGGTTGTGATGGAAAGGTCATGAGTGATGAGAGGGGGGAAGATATTCTCCCCTGCGAATGTGATTTCAAGATATGCAGAGATTGTTATATTGACGCAGTTAAAACTGGTGATGGTATCTGCCCTGGCTGTAAAGAACCTTATAAGAATACTGATTTAGCTGAAAATGCAGTGGAGCAGGGACGAGGGGGACCTCTTCCTTTGCCGTCAAATGTTTCGATGTCAAAGATGGAGAGGAGACTGTCAATGATGAAGTCACATAATAAATCCATGGTAAGGAGTCATTCAGGGCTAATGAGAAGCCAGACAGGGGATTTTGATCATAATCGTTGGCTGTTTGAGTCTAAAGGAACCTATGGTTATGGAAATGCTATATGGCCAAAGGAGGGGGGATTTGGAAATGATGCTGGTAATGATGATGGTAATGGTAGCGTTGAGCCTTCGGAATTTGCAAGCAGGCCATGGAGGCCGCTCACACGCAAATTGAAGATACCTGCTGCTGTTATCAGCCCTTATCGGTAAGTTATTCCCTATGTAATTTTTATTATCCCACTTTTCTTGCATTTTGGTTGCTTTGAACTGTGTATGAATAACTTTTCGTTAGTTTTCAATTTCCTATTGGTTGCATATCATAGTTGGTCACTTGTTTGACAATATCATTTATTATCAAGCTACCAAAATTTCACTCATGAAGGATCCTCATAATATAGTAGGATCCTTCCATTTGCTTTGTTTCTTTTCTCTTTTAGGTTTATTGGTTTGTTGAACACCAGAACCTGGCTATGAGTGTAACTACGACGTTGAAGATGTCTTTCTTCTTCTCCTTCTTTTTTTTTTATTTTTATTTTTATAAATTCGGAATATCTAAATTACTTTTTCTGGGTACAGTGGCCATTGAGTTGAAGTTTTTCCACTTGCTGGCCAGAGCCTTTTTTTTTTTTTTTTAAACTTGTCTAATGTCATTTTGTTATAGATATCCAGATGTTTCGTCATGGACTTCAGCGTGAAATTATAGTTCCCTTTTTTCTTTTCCTGGGAGTATTTTGTTGCAATGACTAGGTAGAGGGTATACATGCTTGATATGTAGCTATGATTTGATAAAATTTTGAAGTTTCGTACTTTGTATCTCTGCCATGATTTCAGCCAGTAAATTGTGTTGTTATTTGAGTGTTTACATACTTCCACACTGTCAACCCTACAATTCCCGTTACCATGATCACTCTGAATGTGAAACATACTTATTTTAACATTTTTCCTTAATTTGTGTGCTCAAACAGGCTTTTAATTTTAGTTCGTATGGTCGTACTTGGACTATTTCTTCAATGGAGGATTGCACATCCCAATAATGATGCTCGCTGGCTGTGGATGATGTCAATTATATGTGAGCTTTGGTTTGCCTTCTCTTGGCTGCTTGACCAGCTTCCAAAGCTAGCTCCAATCAATCGTGCTACTGATCTTGCCGTTTTAAAAGAGAAATTTGAGACACCAAGCGAAACCAATCCCTCTGGAAAATCTGATCTTCCAGGAGTAGACATCTTTGTTTCTACTGCTGATCCAGATAAAGAGCCACCTCTTGTAACAGCAAACACCATTCTTTCTATTCTTGCAGCTGATTATCCCGTTGAAAAGCTTTCCTGTTATGTTTCTGATGATGGAGGTGCCCTGTTGACCTTTGAGGCCATGGCTGAAGCAGCAAGTTTTGCTTACACTTGGGTGCCCTTTTGTAGAAAGCATAATATTGAACCGAGAAATCCCGAATCTTATTTTAGTTTGAAGAAAGATCCATTCAGGAATAAGGTTCGCCCCGATTTTGTTAAGGATCGCAGACGGGTGAAGCGTGAATATGATGAATTTAAGGTACGGATTAATGGCCTACCTGATGCTATTCGTCGTCGATCTGATGCCTATAATACTCGGGAGGAAATCCGGGCAGCAAGGCTTCAGAAAGAGACTGCAGGGGATGAAATTCCCGAACCTGTGAAGGTCCCTAAAGCCACATGGATGGCAGATTCAACTCATTGGCCTGGTACTTGGACCGTTCCATCTTCAGAGCACTCAAGGGGTGATCATGCAGGAATCATCCAGGTAATTCCTAAAGAGTAGCTTTTTCGAAGTATAATGAAATCGAAGTAATTTATGTGTGAAAACATTTGATGCTAATATCATACCTTGATCACAAAGTTATCTAGAATTTTATTAATCGTTTTATTTCCCATTTCTCTCGAGGCATAAATGCTTAAGAGTCTATCTTGAATATGCAGGTTATGTTGAAACCTCCAAGTGATGAACCTCTTCTTGGGACAACAGCCAACGAGAACAGTCCTCTTGATCTGACAGATGTTGACATTCGGCTTCCTATGTTGGTCTATGTTTCACGTGAAAAGCGTCCTGGCTATGATCACAACAAAAAGGCTGGTGCTATGAATGCGTTGGTCCGTGCATCAGCTATCATGTCCAATGGCCCTTTTATCCTTAATCTGGACTGTGATCATTATATCTATAATTCGGAGGCGATTCGTGAAGGCATGTGTTTTATGATGGACCGGGGTGGGGATCGTTTGTGTTACATCCAGTTTCCTCAAAGGTTCGAGGGCATTGATCCGTCTGACCGGTATGCAAACCATAATACAGTCTTTTTTGATGTCAACATGCGAGCTCTGGACGGATTACAAGGTCCAGTTTATGTTGGCACTGGATGCTTGTTTAGGAGAACAGCTCTATATGGGTTTGATCCACCCCGGACCAAAGATTATCATCCAGGATGCTGTAGCTGTTGTTTTTCTCGTCGCAAGAAAAGTGCTTCTGTCGCTTCTGCCCCTGAGGAGAGCAAGGCCTTGCGAATGAGTGATTTTGATGACGAGGAAATGAACATGGCTCTCTTCCCTAAAAGGTTTGGCAACTCTAGCTTCCTTATAGAATCCATTCCTGTTGCTGAGTTCCAAGGAAGGCCACTTGCAGATCACCCTTCTGTTCAGAATGGACGACCTCCAGGTGCTCTAACTATCCCTAGGGAGCTTCTTGATGCATCTACTGTTGCGGAAGCTATTAGTGTAATCTCTTGTTGGTATGAAGACAAAACAGAATGGGGTAATCGGGTTGGATGGATTTATGGATCTGTAACTGAAGATGTGGTGACAGGATATAGGATGCATAACAGAGGTTGGAAATCAGTATACTGTGTTACAAAAAGGGATGCCTTCCGTGGTACTGCTCCTATAAATCTCACTGATAGGCTCCATCAAGTGCTCCGATGGGCTACAGGATCTGTAGAGATTTTCTTCTCCCGGAACAATGCTCTTCTGGCCAGTCCGAAGATGAAATTTCTGCAAAGGGTTGCATACCTTAATGTTGGTATCTACCCATTTACCTCTGTGTTCCTCATTGTTTATTGCTTCCTTCCGGCTCTCTCCCTCTTTTCAGGCCAGTTTATTGTCCAGACTCTCAACGTTACCTTCCTGACATACCTTCTTGGTATCACTTTGACGCTTTGCATGCTTGCTGTGCTTGAGATCAAATGGTCTGGGATTGAGTTGGAAGAATGGTGGCGTAATGAACAGTTTTGGCTAATTGGTGGAACAAGTGCCCATCTTGCTGCAGTGCTTCAGGGACTACTAAAAGTGATTGCTGGTATTGAGATTTCATTCACTTTGACTTCAAAATCAGCTGGAGATGAAAACGACGACGAGTTTGCTGATCTCTACATCATCAAGTGGTCGTCCCTTATGATCCCGCCAATCACAATCATGATCACGAATTTGATTGCCATCGCAGTTGGTTTCAGCCGGACAATTTACAGCACCATACCTCAGTGGAGTCGCTTACTAGGAGGCGTTTTCTTCAGCTTCTGGGTGTTGGCTCATCTATACCCATTTGCCAAAGGCCTTATGGGACGACGGGGACGTACACCAACAATCGTCTTCGTTTGGTCAGGACTTATCGCCATTACAATCTCGCTCCTTTGGGTTGCCATCAATCCTCCTCAGGGAAGCACAGAAATCGGAGGATCATTCCAGTTTCCTTAATGTGATCCGGTTGAAGATTTTTTGATTCAAATCCGTTTTCTTAAATATATACATATATATATGGTCACGGATGGTCGCCTAACTGGAATTTCGAATTCAGCATAATTCTTATTCCTGATTTTTTTTTGTCTCCTTGGTTAGTTCATTTTATACAGACAGAACATATACATTTTTTGTAAGACTTCAAATTCAAAGTAGATACTGGAAATTTGAAACTACTAATTCATTCTTTGAGCACTTGGAAAAGTATACTTCGCTTCCTGAAGTTATTTGCTTTAGTTCAAACCATTATTATACTAGTACTATTTATTTCATGGAGGGATGTAATGTTTACAATCTCATTTTGGGACGGGGACAACCATAATTTATTCAAAGTTTTCTTGAAATTGATTTTTTATTTATAAATTTATTGTTGACCAAGTACCTTTTTTCAGCAGTTGAGTGGTTTCACCTAACTTTGAAGATTCCAACTTCAAAGTTTCAAAATAAAATAAATGATTGATAAAAATAAAATAGGTTTTACTACATACTTACTTATGTTTTGAGCAAGACATTCTTTGCCTCCATATGTACAAGACATTCTTTAGCAATATTTACACTCATTCTGTAGGACTAAAAAATCGACTATAATTCAACATCACTTGTTAATTATTAGAAAAATATAAAAGTCCACAAGAACAAAAAAAAAAAAAAAAGAAAAAGAAGAAAAGTTTATGCTTCTACATGCATACGAAACTCCAGCAATTCTTTCATTATCTGATCATTTATTGCATTATGTTTTACACGAGTATTTCCCAACTAATCTTTTAAGGTTTTGAATATGGTTGTTTTTGACTTGGCTCAATCTTTTATTATCCACATGAGTGTGAAATGTGAATTGTGTTGATAATGACACTTGAAAGTACCAAATAGTATTACTCCCTCCATTTTCTTTTTTATATGTCTTTCTAGATAATTCATCAAAATCAAGAAAACATTAAATAATGTAGTTAAAATACAAAAATACCCTTATTTATTTTCTATACAATTCATCACAAACCAGTAGAAATTCATTATAAATATTGTTTCATTCCCAATGCAGGGGTAACATTAGTAAAAAGTAGTCAAATGTGCCTATTTGTGAAAACAACATATATTTAAAAAAATTCAACAAACCCTAAAACGACATATTATTCAAAATGGAGGGAGTATGTGATTATTGGTTTACGAATCATATTAATTATATGTATATATGTAAAATAAAACGATTGGTAGATCATTTGTCCTTTTAAATCTCCAATTGTTTTGTTCTTGCGGAATTATTATTTAATAAGGCGTAAAAATGAGTATTAATATCTCCCTATTATATATAGACTCCTTTTTTTTAATATTAATTTTCAATTTTGAAAAATATTTGCCTCCAAAATAATCCTTTGCCCTTAAATGGGAGGACAATGTGCATATGGGCCAAGCTGTCAACATTAGTATAGTAAATGAATATAAATGAACAACCGAAAATGGACTTGTTTTGATGGGCTATATGGATCTAGTAGAATGTAGACTGCAGAGTCCGTTTAATAAAAGCTCTCCTCTTTTAGTTATCTTCTCAAAAATAGAACTCGGAGTTAGGTTTCCAGTGAGAAAGCGTAGAAATTTTTTTTGAAAATCAGAAAGCGCAGAAATGAAATGAACAGAGTGGAGGTGATTCCCTGAATGGAATCCAGAAATGAAGAAAATCCAATTCGGAAATCGCAAAGGCTCGGTGATGGCGATGATGAACTTTCTGTCGGTAATGATGTCGTGATTCCAATTGATCGGATTAGCAATTTGCCCGAAGCAATCATTGTCCAAATCCTCTCCTTCCTTCCCACACAATCAGCCGCAGCTACAAGATTCTTGTCCAAAGGTTGGAGAAATCACTGGACCAAAGTGACCAGCTTCGATTTCGATGATCAATGGTGGCTTTCTTCCCGGAGGCGCGGTGGCAGAGTTATGAATTTCTTGGACTTTGTTAACACGGTTTTGTTCAATCACAGTTAGGAAGTTTCCATCCACCGTGTTAGACTCAAGATCGACAATAGGAAATTCCATTTTGTTTATCTCAATATTTGGGTCAATGTGTTCATTGCTCGGAATCTTCGAGTTCTTGATTTGGAGGTGTCCCCAACCGAAGAGAATCATCCTGCAGAGTATCATCATGATTATAAGTTTCATTTACCCCTCGCACTCTACACTTGCGGGACATTAGAGGTTCTAAAATTAAGTGGCTGTTTTCTGATTGAAGTCCCTCATGTGGTTTGTCTTCCTAGACTCAATCTGTTGGAACTACGTTGTGTTAAGTATGAATCGGATTCTTCTTTTGCAAAGCTTATATCTGGTTCTTCCGAGTTAAAATCTCTCACGCTCGGCAGGGCACACACTGATGGCATGGTAGTTTGTGTAATTTCTTCCCCCGCACTGAAAAGTCTCTGCTACTATCGTTACTTTTGCTCTGACTGTGAAGTAAATGACGATCTCCGTTTTAAGCTTGAAATCGATACACCTGCAGTTGAAAATGTCGTCTTAAACCATTATGCATCGACAGAAATGGTTGTCGTGCATGAGTTGGCCTCTTTGGATGAGGCTTCTCTTGGTACCACTGTTGAATCAACACGTAACTTGGGGTCAGTTAAAGCTTTTGATCGTGCAAAGACTCTGTCCTTATCTTCTGAAATGATGGAGACTCTTACAGAAGCCAGGGCGAATCTCTCAGCAAAGTTTGAGAGACTAAAAAATTTGTCGGTTCATTTTGACTCCTGTGATTTTGGTTGTCAATGGATGTGATTGATTGATGTCCCTCGTTAGAGATACTCCGCATTGAGTTGTTAAACTGTGGGGACTCAATTCACAACAGATGGAGGGATCCCGCTAGTGTTCCAAGGTGCTTGTTATCTAGTCTAACAAATGTTTCATATCGTGGATTCAAAGGCCATGATGATGAGAAGGCTATGTTAAAATATTTAGCAAAACATGCCTTAGTTATGCAAAGGGTTGCTATATGCCGACATGATATCAAGGTAAAGTTCGATTCACTCGAAAAGATGTTGAAGTTATTTAGAGTATCCGCGAGTTGTAAAATGTACTTAGGTCGCTGAGATAGCATCAATCATAGTTTTGGATGGTGTGATTATGTTAAGATGTCGTAGTTTTATTTTGATAGACTTATCTTTTGGTATCTGTAGCTGTTTGTTCTAAGTTGGAACATTGTTTTTTGCTTGAAGTACTTTCTTCGCTTTGTGTTTCTTGTGTGTTCCTTTTCTGGCATTTTAGATAGTCCGTATTGGAACGGATCTCATGGATGATGCATTTCTTTTTGATTCCTTTTCAGTCTTATCATCACTTTCATGTGCTGGATTAGTGGTGGGTATTAGTATTTACTAATTACTTTGTTTCCTGCACAGAAAGTTTTTGTTGATGTATCAAATCCTGGAAGGGGGGTAAATTTTACCGTAGAGTTGTGACAAGACAATTTAGGTCTGTTGGGATGGTTCTGTATTTTGTTGTTTGGACTTTTGGAGTTCATGAGCGATGAAGCTTTTCATTGGCTGTTGATACATGAAATCCCGATGATATGGAAAGTTGGCTGCAGTTGAACAAAGTATGAAACCTGAAATAGAATTTGGTGACCACTTGAGATGTTTCTGGTTAATGCAGTAACATTATCAACACATTGAATTGATTGCTATTTGTTAGTAATTTCGTGAATTTGGTGACAGTCAAATCCGCAACAGGTTGTCGAAACTAAAAATGAGCATAGGATTTTTGTGTCATGTTTTTTCCTTTTTTTTCGTGTGTAAATTTGACGTGGGTCTAACAGTCTAAGTAATTGCGATATTAATTGATGCATAAATCTCAAATCATTTATCAATTCTTAGAGATAATTGTTCCGGAAGACGTGGATAAACTTAATTTGATTTGATTATTGTAACACGGTTAGGTACATGACAAAATGATTAAAAATTTCATGCTCATGGCAATTTCTTCCTTCCTAGTGCTAATCTCCTGGTATATCACAATCTTTTATGGGGTGGTATTTTAAAGACATTTATCGTTGAGCTACTGAATTGCTTTGCGAGAAACCTGACATTGATAATATAGAACCGTTGCCTATATTCCCAGAATTGCTTCGGTTATCTTTCAAGTATTGTTCCTTTTTAGGCATATTCTGCAGTGTGTCCATCTGCTAAAAACTACGGTAGAGGATGTTATGAATCATTGACTAATATTCCTTCTTAAATTTTGGGTAATCTATATTTTATAGTATTATTGTAAATAATCTCCCTCAATGAATTATATTGTGTGCATCTCGTTTAGCAGGTGTGATGATCATCCAAAAGATTTTTTTTTTGGGTAAACTGTAAATATTTTCGTTAATTGGCAAAAAAAGCGTATTTACAACCAAAAAAGGCACACTATTCCTATTACTTTCATCTATCTCTGTCTATTAAGAATCACTAAGCAAATAAAGCTGTCAAAATCGTTACTTCCTTCTCTGTTCTCTGTCTGTCCAAACAATGCTCAACTCTCCACCAGCTTTCACTTAATCAGTCCTAATAAAACCTCAGTAGACCTGTTTTTTTTTTCTTTCAAAAAACAATCTACCATTTCTTTCCTCCCAGAGATAGTATACAGTGGCAGCCATTATAATAGACATTATCTTCCTTTTAAACCTAGATTTTTCCAGACAGTCATAATGCTAACTCTCCTCTGAGACTGAATATTTGACAAACCATGAATCCCTAGTCAGTTCAAAACTTCTCTGAGTGTGTTCGCATAGCTACATTCAAAGAACAAATGGGATAAATTTTCCTGCATATTCTGACAGAAACCACACTCCTGTGTCCCTTGCAGCATATAATATGTGCCAATCTTTGTTTAGTGAGCAGTCTATTCCGCCAAAATAACCATAAGACAAAGGAATGTCTGGGGAGATTTTTACCTTGACCAAATGAAAGCAGCAGCTGGCATATTCTCTGCACTGCCCATAAACCAATTATACCCAAAAGTCAAAGTGTACCTGCCAAATTCAGTGTGCTTAGACATGTGCCCCTCATACTCCTGTTTTACCTTATCCTTCAATTGCAGTATTCTCTTCCAGTCCCAACTAGAACTTTACTTAGGAGACAGCTGCCAAAAGTCATTGCCTTTTATATATTGCTGATGCGCTGCCTACTTCCTAGCACACATGAAATAGAGGATTTGTTGGGTTGGGGTTTTCATTCCAGTTTTTTTTTTCTTTTTTTTTTTGGGGGGGTGGAAAAAAATAAAACTGTTTTCTTCTTTCGTGTTTCAGGTAAAGAAGTAAAGAAAATATGACCTTGTAACTGAGGTGTTTGTTGAATTCAACATTCTTTCTATTTGGCGATTCCTGAATTTTGTTTTCTCAATTAGTTATCCTTATACAAAGATCGATCATATTTCTTTTTAAGAAAGACTTCAAAGTAGTTTGTGAAATTTTTGAAGTTGATTCATTCGTGATAGTACTTGAAAGGTTCTCTAACGTTGTTGTCTAACCATTGTATTTTTTTCCACCTTACATTTCTTTTTAGGATACAAAGTCAGCTAACAGGGGTTCTTACAGGTACTGAAATACTGATAGTCCCTTGTGAAGTGCATTTTCTAAAACAATTCGATCATTGCATGACTATTTTCTTAACACA